GGTCTGTAAAATTCAAATCGATTAGTTGTCAACTTTACAACTAATCGATTAATTCGATTTTCGATTTGTAACACTAAAGCTATCATGAAATTTAATTCACAAATTAAATATTTTTATTTTCGAATTACTCGAATAACTCGAATAAAATAACTGAAGATCATATGATTCAAGCACTCTTTTGAATTTAATTCGTGAGTCACAATTGAAACGCGTCCAGTCACTAGTTTGTAATTATCAACCATTGGTGGGTAAATGAATCATTATCGTTATATTTGGACTGCTATTAATAAAACCAAGCAGATTTATCTAATAAATCTGATTGATTTCGAATAAGTTATTAATTAACGCTTACCGTTGCAGCATAATCCCCCATTCGGTTAATAGAGATTAACCAATCATATAAATATCGGAATCTGCGCTCTTATGTATAAAATATCTAGAATATCCAGGGCGTTTTAATGAGGATATACATGATGGATTGGTATTGTTATAAGAATTTCATACATAAACATTCCGAACTATTGTAATTATTGAAGTTTTTTAAAAATAGTTCTTGAAGATATGGTGTAACAAATCTACAAATTAATAATTTTTATTTATATAATACAAATTTAATGCATGTGGTTATACAAAATAATGAACTTGTCTAAACAAATAAATAATTAATTTTGAAAATTAATAGCTTTTAACTTTATCGTTATATAATGCATCTATGTATTTTACCAGAATTGCCAGGCAAAACCAGAACTGGGAAATTTACCTTTCAATTCTTTTTTGAGCTTGCCAATTCAACGAATACCTCGTTACAAGTTATTACTAGAAGCTCTATTAAAACACACCGAGAAAACACACCCTGACTATATAAACCTTGAACAATGCGTACACCAAATTAGTTTGATTGCCGAGGAAGTTAATGAAAAGTATGTTAAGAATCATTTGTCAGTTTTTTTTTTTCAAGTTTTAAATTGATGGTTATTTTTGTTTATAGAATACGAGATGCTGAGAATCAACAAAAAGTATTAGAAATTCAAAACAAAGTAGAAAGACTACCGGGCAATATAATAAATCCTGCTCGAAGATTTATATACCAAGGAGATTTATATAAAGTTACTCAACGAATGTCATCCACAAAACCCTATTACTTAGCAACAGAGGATAGACGTGCACATTTTCTATTTAATGATCTACTTCTCCTCTGTATAGAATTCCAAGGAAAGTTATTGTACACTGGGCAAATTGATTTGAATAATGCATATCTGATTGATATTGCAGATGATGAAGCAGATCAACCCTTTTGTTTTCAAATAATCACCACCACAGCGGAAGGAAAGGAAGCATGTCACACGGTTCGAGCAACAACATTTGAAGAAAAAACGGAATGGATTACACGAATTGATAATGCACTTGAAGTGCTGAAAAGAATAAGAAATAATTCTAGTATCAGGTCAAAGAGTAAGTTAATTTGGAACAATTTATTACTTATTTTGTTGTTTAATTCATTTTATTCATTCAATTCTTTGAATTTTGAATTTATTAATAGACTCTGTTTCTGGTTATGCACCACCTACATAATATTATGTAACGACTGAATTTATTTATTTAATAGTTATAAACATGTAATTTAGTTTCAAATACCAAAATTGATAAACATTTCTATTGACTAGAGATCTAAAAATAATGGGGGTCAAAACTACAGGTTTTACATTTTAATAAGATCAAGATATCATTCATTGTATCACATATGCATCTGTATTTTACAATAGAATACGTGTATTTATAGAGGCAATTATTTTAAATACTTTTATTTAACAAGAATATTTATTTATTTATTTAGCTATTTATTTATTTAATGCATTAGCATTAACATCTAAGAGTGATCATGTCAATTTTCTGCAAGAACATTGCAACATTTGTAATAAAACATTCCAGATATATGTTATCATGCGATGTTTGAATGTATTTGGAAGTGATATTAAAATATATGGGAAATTCTATTTTGACCCGGGTCAAAATAACCTTCAGCAAATTTTAGGGTTAGTGCGGGCCAGAACTATGTTGATGCCGGTCAGGGTTTTTTTAATATTAAAACCCGGCCGGCATTAACATAATTCTGGCCCGCACTAACCCTAAATGCGGGTCAAAATAGAATTTTCCCAAAATATTATATAGCATATAATTTCTCGAATTATCGCTATATCTATTAATAAATTTTATAAACCAA